CCTAAACCCTAAACCCTAGGCAATGGTTGTCTCTGGGCTGGTCCTGTCATCTTTGCTGGTCTTTTTTGGCCTTCGACTCCGAAGTACGAGCATTGGTGGGGGAGAGTTGCCCCTGGCTTGCAGTGGATGTATATACATATATAACATACATACATAATATATAAATATATATGTATATATNNTATATATATATGTATACATGTATGTATGTATATATGTACATATATATATATATGTATTTATGTACTTGTGTATGTTTATCTATCTTTGATTTTGTCTGGCTGTGGATAGTGGCGAGGATGCTTAATGCGCAGCCCTGAACTGGCCCGAAAACCTGAGCCTGACCAGGGTTTGACAATTTAGGGCTTCAGGGTTTAGGGTTTAGGGTTCAGGGTTCAGGGTTTAGGGTTTTCGGTTTGAGTGAGGTTTTAGTGGGGTCAAGACCGTGAAGTGCAAGAGTTGCAGTCCTTGAGAAACCCAAGCCATGGCACCTGTCTCTCATTATTTTAGGAAGTTTTAGAGTTAATAGTACTCTGATGAGTAATGGGTATTTTTTGCTAGGCGGTAACACCGTATCAGAAGAGCTGCGTGATGAACCTCGACGGCAACAGTAGAAGCTAGCAGCACAAACATGCTGCTTGCAGGGTCGCAATTATTGCAAGAAGCAGCAGCACTAATCAGGGCATCTTACAGACCACTTCTACAGTGGACAGACCGGAATAACCTCTAAACCCTAAAGCCTAACCCCTAAACCCTGAACCCTAAACCCCAAACCCTAAATCCTAAACCCTGAACCCTAAACCCTAAACCAGAGGGTTTTCTTAGCATGGGCATTCGAAGCGAGAGTCAGTCTGGACCGAGGAGCGAAGAGCAGGAGCCCAAGACTCTGGACACTTGCTGGCACTTGAGCCATGTTAGGGACGGTCCATGGCTGTATAAGCCCTAAACCCTAAACTTGGCCCTAAACCCTAAAAACTAAACCCTAAACCCTAAACCCTAAACCCGTATAAGCGTAGAGTACAACACCGCAAAGTCTTTCTGTGGGACGACCTCGCGCAAATCCCCAAATCAAGCTGGGGCCGCAACCTCTGTTCCTCACAAGCCATACTCTAGAAGCCCATATACCATTTTGGGGGTTCCTTATTGTATTTATACTATAATAATATACCCCAAAGCCTTATTCTAATCATTAAAGCCCTCTACAGAATACACCCTGCAAGGCGAGATCGCCGAGTGAAGCAAAGTGTCTCCTCTCGGCGTTGTCGTCAGCAGAAGACCTTTCCGCTTACGATGACGGATCGCCTCGGACGATCCTGGCGTGAAGCTTCAGCTCGCTAGTTTAGTATCGGGCTGGAACAGCCCAGCGGAATCAGAATCTGCCAAAAGTTCTCCCCGAGAACCCTGCCCGAAGCTGACTAAATCACGCTTCGTGGTTCGTTCTCCTTGCTAGCTTTACGTTACGTCTTATTGCTCCCTTTTCCGGTTGGGGTGCCGTGCGGATGGCAGTCGCCTCGGCATGGCCAAGCTGCCAAGCAGCAGCGACTCCCAGCCACGATCGCGGTGGCAAACTCGGCGTGGCAAGACCACGATTAGCAAAGCCTGTCGAAGCAGTGGCTGGCTTGGTGAGATACCTAGTTCTGGCAAAGGCCATAGTCATAATAACTGAACGACTGTAAGAGTAACCATCTAAATGTGCGGGTATGAGCTCTCTATGGGCATGTCGCCAAGTTGCAGCACTGCTTCGAGCTAGAGAAGCGTTCGCGTGTTCGCAGCCAAAACGTGGCACCTTAGCGGCATGGCTCCGAAGGAGCCCCGCCGCCTGTGCTCTTCTTAGAAGGCTGCGGCTGTGCGCCAGGCTTGATCGCAGAATACTGCTCTCATGCGAAATGTCTCGATTTTCAGCTTTAGGGTTTGGTCTTTTAAGGTTTGGTCTTGACTTCGGGTACCAGATCTTCATTGAGAGTTGCTCGGTGTTTTCCGATTCTGGAACCAAACATCCAGTGCCTGAGGAAGAGGCTCTCTCCCTGTAGAGTTCCTGTAACCTTGTTAGATCTTATGGTTCCACCTAGCGAAGCTACGAGAGATCCCACCACCGAGCGGTGGGCATAGATGTGGTAGATCGTTTGCAGCATCCTGACATATTCTGCAAAACTGCGGTATACAGTCAATTCCCTCAAATAGTAACATAGTATATCATGTAGTCTAACACAGTATACCAACATCCGTTGTCACAATTAGATAGGCTCACGACTTCGGCTTCCTCCGCTGTCGCCAAAGCCATGTTTCGAAATTGTCTTTCTGCCCTTCCGTCTCCCCGTGGAAGGCTCAACGAACCGATGCACCAGCAGTATGCCGTGGGGAAAGCGGCCGCTTTAGCACGGAGCTCGGCCATGTTGCAGAAGGACTACCCTGAAGCCTAATTATTTCAGAGTGTTCGGCCTGGGCCAAATGTTGTTAAAGTCTTAGGATCTGGCACGGGAGCTGGTGATCTTCGGCTTTGACATCCAACTGGTAGGAATATACCTACCATGTTGAATGTTGGGTTTAGTTGTTTGGTCTGTATTGTAATTTTTTCAGTGGTAGCACTGTAGCTTTTTGTTTGCAGAGCCCGGAGCAAGAGAGCGTGTCTTTCAGGCACTGTGTCTTTCAATTATTTCTACGTGACTTATTAGTGTTATCGCTTCTCTCTTGACGGACGGGGGCCTTGAGTTTTCAGGTGTGTCGGACGGTGTCAGGCATATTTTTGGGTCTTGCGGGGTGGAGGCGCGAGGGAGAAAATAGTGATCGAGTTCCTTCCCCTCAGCACACACTTGCATTGCCGGTCGATGCCGGTTGTCTGTTCCCGACTCTTTTGTTCGCTTCTGTTACCGATCTTCTCAATCTTTACTGCTAAGAAGTCTTATTTTACACTTATAGGGAGCCTTTGATGAACCTCTGCGCTGCAACGACGATCTGGATTAGATAGATACACAGTCATCAGAATTGGAAAACTACACGATCATCAGAATTAGATA